GCACGCACCACCAGGCCCAGCTAATTTTTTGTATTTTTGGTAGAGACGGGGTTTCACCATGTTGACCAGGATGGTCTCAATCTCTTGACCTCGTGATCCACCCGCCTCGGCCTCCCAAGGTGCTGGGATTACAGGCGTGAGCCACGGCGCCCGGCCTAAGTTCGTAAGTTTTAAGTTGCACACTGTTCCTATTGTGATGACATATTGTGCCACCCCGCTCCCTCCCTTCATCACAAGGGCGAGCACGGTGCAATAAGGTAGAGAGAGCGCACGGGCACATAGCTCTTGTCTCAGACTGTTGTTGTAACTGTTCCTCTCTTACTGTGCCTGCTCCATCAATTAAGCGTTGTCACAGGTGTGAAAGTAGAGCAGGACTTTCCATACTATCTGGTTTCAGGCATCTCCCACAGAGAAGGGGGATGGAAACCAAGGTGTCTGAGACAGTTCTGAATCCATTAATTTGCCAAGGTTAAGGGCAAGGCCAGGGAGGCGAAATGAAACACGACAAAATGGGGAGCCACTGAACCCGTCTGTGGTCTTTCTCCAAAGACGACTTTGAGGGCTTCCATGTTTAAAGGGGAAAAGCAGGCTGGAGGAGAATGAAGGAGGGTCTGGTCCCAGTACTGACTCCACGGGCCAGAGAAGAGGAGCAGAGGGGAACGGTCAATCATGTATTCTCTGGCGCTCAGTAAACGGGCACTTCACGTAAGATAAGGTGAGCACGGAAGCCACCTGCGGAGGTCTTAACCTTTCCTCTGTCACGACCTGCTTCGGAACAAAAGCCAAGGCATGGCTCCGCTCTCAGCTTCCTTTTCTTCCCCCCTTTTGGCAAAGTGAATTGGGGTTTTCGTTTGCCTTTCACAGCACCTACTGTATTTTTGCAACTTCTATGTGGTTGAAAATCTTATTTCAAAAGAAAAAATGGTGGGGAAAAAAGTGCTGAAAACAGACACCCTTGCCTTGTCCCTTAGGGGGAAAGCATTCAGTCTCTGACTTAGCTGTGGATTTCTCACAGGTGCCCTTCATCGGGTTAAGGACGTTCCCTAAGGGGTTTGTTGGCCTTTTGTTTTGAATTGGATGAATGGGTGTTAGATTCTGTCAAATGCTTTTTCTGTATCTTTTGAGATTATCATGCTTTTTCCCGTTTTAGGCTTTTTTTTTTTTTGCATTAATTATTTTTATTTAAAGAAAACAGTATACAGTTAACCCAGTTTCATGGCAAGTTCTTCAGCCTTTGCCTTTTCTAGCTTGGCGATGCGAGCCACAGACTTGGGACCCAGGACATTGCCTCCCCAGTGACGCCGGATCTCATCGTATCTGTCATTGTGATTGGTGCGGATAGCTTCCACCTGCTTAGCCAAAGCACCTTTGTCTTCCGGATTAATGTGTGTGAAGGCGACAGTGGTGCAGGTCTTCCTGTGGACTAGACGTCCCAGTCTTGCCTTCCCCTTGATGATGCAGTAAGGGACTCCCATTTTACGACAGAGGGCAGGCAAGAAGACAATGAGCTCAATGGGATCCACATCATGAGCAGTCACCACCAGCTGCGCTTTCTTCTTTTCCACCAAGGTGGTGACGGTGTTGACTCCTGCTTGGAGGACAGGTGGTCTCTTCGTGGGGACGTCCCCTTTGCCAGCCGCTTTCTTCTCGGCCCGGGCCAACAGCCTCTGCTTCTTCTCTTGCTTCGTCTCTGGCCTGTACTTGTGGGCCGGCTTAAGCAGCTGAGTAGCGTTTGGCAGTCCAGGGCCTGGGTGAGCTGGTTAATTGCATGGGGCACTTTCAGCCGCTTATAGAGGATGGCTCTCTGCCGCTGCAACCTGATACAGCGGGGCCATTTCACAAATCGGGTGAGGTCTCTTTTGGGCTGGATGTCCTGTCCAATGCCAAAATTTTTAGGCCTTTTCTCAGATAGTGGATTCACCACTTTCTTGGCCTCCTGCTGCTTCACGACAGCAGGGGCCGGAACCACCTTCTTCCCCTTGGCTTTCTTTCCTTTCGGCATCTTGGGCGGTAGGAAGAGAGAGCGTTTTCTTTTCTTTTTTTTTTTAGATGGAGTCTCATTCTGTCGCCTAGGCTGGAGAGCAATGGCATGATCTCGGTAAACTGCCACCTCTTCCTCCTGGGTTCAAGTGATTTTCCTGCCTCAGCCTCCCAAGTAGCCGGGACTACAGGCATGTGCCACCATGCCCTGCTAATTTTTTGTGTTTTTAGTCGAGACGGGGTTTCACCATGTTGGCCAGGCTGGTCTCTAACTCCTGACCTCAAATGATCCACCCACCTCAGCCTCCCAAAATGCTGGGATTACAGGCATGAGTCATCGCATCTGGCCCCTTTTTAGTCTTAATATAAAATATTATTTCATTGATTGATTTCAGAATATTGAACTAACCCTGCATTCCTACGATAAACCACACTTACTATGAGGTATTCTTGTCAGAGGTGTCTGAACCAGAGTGACTCCATCTTGGATTGCAGCTGGGTAAAGGAAGGCTGACCCCTGCTGGGCTGCATTCCCAGGAGGTGAAGGCATTCTTGGTCACAGGATGAGACAAGAGGTTGACACAAGACACAGGTCACAGGTCCTTGCTGATAAAACAGGGTGCAGTAAAGAAGCCGGCTAAAACCCACCAAAACCAAGACGGCCATGAGGGTGACCTCAGGTTGTCCTCACTGCTCCCCTCCCAAAAGTGCCCGGACAAAGGCCGGGGCAATGTCAGCAAGTCACCCTACGCGGTCTAAAGAGGGGGGGCGTGAGCAATCCATCCCTTGTTTGGCATATAAGAAATAACCGTAAAACACAAAAAGAGACCACCAGCAGCCCTGGGCCACTCTGCGTTGGAGTTGCCATTCTTCATTCCTTTACTTCCCTAGTAAACTTGCTGTCACTTTGTTCCATGGACTTGCCTGGAATTCTTTCTCGTGTGAGATCCAAGAACCCTCTCTTGGTGATCTGGGTCGGGACCCCTTTCCAGTAACATTCTAATTTTCAATTATTGATGAATTGGGCTTGATAATCTGTGCTAAGGATTTCTGCATCGTCATGAGGGATACTGGTCTGAATTTTTTCTGGAAGGTATTTGTCTGGTTTTGATATCAGTATAGTGGTGTCCACATAAAATGGCTTGGAAAAGCGTTCCCAACTCCCAGAGTCACGGAAGGGTTTGTGCGGGTTTGGTGTTATTTCTCCCTTACGTGTTTGGTACAATTCACCAGTGAAGCCATCTGGGCCTGTGGTTTTGTGTGAAGGTGTTTTATTTTTGCTTTATTTAACTATTTTAACGGTGTGAAGGGATAACTTGAGATTTATCAATTTAAAGTGTACCGGGGCTGGGGCGGTGGCTCATGCCTGCAATCCCAGCACTTTGGGAGGCAGAGGCGGGCGGATCACAAGGTCAAGAGATCGAGACCATCCTGGCCAACATGGTGAAGCCCCATCTCCACTAAAAATACAAAAATTAGCTGGGCGTGGTGTCGCATGCCTGTAATCCCAGCTACTTGGGAGGCAGAGGCAGAGGCAGAATTGCTTGAACCTGGGAGGCGAAGGTTGCAGTGAGCTGAGATCGTGTCACTGCACCCCACCAGCCTGGGAAACAGAACAAGACTCTGTCTCCAAAAAAAAAGCATACTGGAAGACAGGACAAACATGTGGAATGAAAGAAACTGAATCTTGGCTTTTTGTCCAGTCGGATGAGTTGCGTGCTGGACATGAGTGTGGAGCAGGTAGTTACTACCCTGAGGCCCGCATGTCACAGCTTCTTAAAGAGACAGTCAAGAGCTTACGTGCAGTTCCTTATCCCGGCTCCCCCTCGGCCAATGTGTGCTGGGTTCTTCTGGAACGGCTCTCCTGTGGATCCCTGCCGAGAATGCCTGGTTCTCCTTGCTGCTCACTCTCGGGAGTCTCCAGGGACCCTGCTGCGGCATCTGTGTTCTGGAGAGGCCTCCTCCTGCAGGGCTGTCTTGGTCAGACTCCCAGCAGGAACACATGGCACCCGAATGAGGGTCATCGAAGGAGGCTTCAGTGAAGGGAACTGTTTACCAGGGGTGAGCGAGCAGGGTGTGGGGGCTGCACAAGGGCCATCTGTGGCATCTGGAGCTGTGGACAGTGGAGCTGTCACAGTCCCAGGCCAGAAGGGACCGGGGAGGGGGAATCGGCCCAGACACTGGGAGGGGCGCTGGAGGGGCTGCCTTGAGAGGCAAGTGCCAGAGGAAGTCAGGGACTCCCCAGGAGCCATCCCAGAGGGTACGGGAGGCGGGGTAGGAGAGTGGGCTTGAAGGGTAAGAGGCTGAGTGGGCGCACTTGGCCTTTCTGATTCTGCTCTCCGGGTCTTCTTTCCCTCTCTGGCTGCCCCTGTCCTGTCTCCAGCTGAGTTCTCCCTTTCTTGGCCAGTGCCTGCCTTCCTGGCATTTGCAGTTCCAGTGATGGGGACTGTCCCACATGTCCCCTGGAGCGACCACCTCTGCTCCTGTGGATTCACCAGACACACTAAAGACACCAGCTCAGCCCGGCCTCTCACCTGTGCGCCTCCTTACCACGTCTTCCGGAGGGCTCCCCAGGGATGAGCAGCAGCGAAACGGGAGCCTGGGTGCCCATGACGCGTCAGGAGGCGTTCTGAGACCCTTGCGTGCGCCCAGGCACTTACCATTCACTGCAGCCCTGGGATGGAATCTGCGATTAGCTTCCTTTTTTGCAGACGAGGATGCTGGAGCACAGGAAAGTTAGGCCATTTGTCTGCGGACGTGTGGCTGGAAGGGGACAGAGCCAGGCCTGGGCTTGCAACGCCTTCAGACCTTCCCTTTCTGACCACAGCACTCGTGCTCTTGGAGCGCCTTGAGACTGGAGGACGCAGTTTCCAGAAGGGCTCCCCTGGCGGGTGACCCCCGTGCGCACCCCGGGCATCCCGTGCGCACCCCGGGCATCCCGCGCGCATCCCGGGCATCCCGCGCGCACCCCGGGCATCCCGCGCCTCTGCAAACAGCCAGCGCAGACAGGGAGACAGAACTACACTCCCTCAGACGCTTTATTGTTTACAAAACTGACGGATCCCGTAGGGAAGGAACACAATCATTATGCTGACAGCAGCAAACAGAGAGGGGAAGAAAAAGGTGAGCTTTAGAGTAATGGCAGATCACTGCCTGTGACGAGGCTGCTCCCGGGCACCTGGGCTGTGGCTCAGGCGCTGACGGGAATACCTCGGCAAGGTCTCAGGTCCCCCAGCCTTCCCGACTGCATCTCCGTTTTACATGACCCAGCCTGGACATCAAGGACAGTGATCAAGGAGGTGGGTCAGAGACACAGCCACGAAAGTCAGGACAGACTTGGGGCTTCCAGGCTACGCCCGGTGGGAGCTGAGCTCTTCGGAAACGTGTCACATTCGGCGTTCACTTCCTCCGCTACTTATGACACAGCGAGGGAAACAGACAACCAGCTCCAGAGGGGTCCCTCCTGGCTGCCCTCCTCACAGCTGTGCTTGAGTTTCAAGAGAGATTTGTGAGGGACGGGCACAGGGGCAGCCAGAGCCTCACCCTCCCACCCAGCACGGCCCCTCTGATGGCCAGGGGTGGGGTTAGGGTGGGGGTGGGGGTTGGGGTGAGGTAGTGCTGTACGAGAGCACTGAGATGATGGAAACGCCCTTCTCAGCCTGGGTCGCGCCTGACCTCGGTCTCAACTCCCACTCTGCCTTCGCCCTGGAGTGCCTGGAAGACAGCAGCCTGGCCAGCGCTCATGTGAGGTTTCCACAGAGAAGAGGCTGCAGAGAAACAAAGGCCATGGAAAGAAACCCCAGGGAAGCGACAGGCCTCATTCACAGACCCTCCCCAGGACAAAGGAGCCCTGGGGCCACGGGTCACCTGAAGCCACCAGAAACCCCAAGGCAGGGAATAAAAAATTCAAGTCGCTCATAAAAGTCCTGAAAGGCGTGACAATTTCTGACAGTTGCTGGGAAAAGGCAACATTTTATCTTTGTATCTGCTGGCCAAGAACTCCGAAACCTGACGCTTGGTTCACCAACTGTCACTGCATCCTGCCAATCTCCTCTGCGGCTGGAGCAGGCTGGACTTGGCTCTGCGTGATGAGGTGGTGATTCGCTTCATAAGAAAGGAAACTGCTTCAGTGAAAACAGGTTAATCATTAAAACTTCGAAGTGCTACATGGCCCCAGAATTCTCCTGAAGGGAGAAAGCAGTCCCTGGCCAGATGAAGTGGAGATGGATTTATCTGAGGCCTGCCTGTGCAGCTGTGGGAGATGTGTCCTCAGGGGCCTGCCCTCGCTCTCGCTCATGGCCATGCAATGCCCTGCAATGTAAACATTTTCTTTTCCAAGGATCTGCAGGGCTGGACATGATGCCCCAGGCTCAGACGAGGAAGAAAAGGGTGTGACCTGGGGGTCCCCAGCAGGCAGGTCCACCTCGTGCTCACTGTGTGCTCGGGGTGAGGCACAGTGCTTGACATAGGGTAGGAGCTCCAGGGGTATTTACTGAACAAAAGAACGTAGAAAACAATGGAGGTCAGATGGAAGAGAGGGCCTGGCCACGCCCGCAGGCTTTGACGCAATGCCCAAAGTGACCAATCTCACCAGCAGAGGGCAGCATGGGGCGTTCAGAAGCGCCCCTGCCCAGCCCGGGATCGGGCTCCCTGTCCAGGCCTCCAGCCCAGGCACAGTTCCAAAAAGCACAAATCAAAACAGAAGTGCCCTCCTCTGGTTTTTATAAAAGCCGAGTCCTGACGGCCTTGCCCAGCGTCTCCCTGCTTTGAGCTAAATGAACTCGATGCCTTCGTACTTCACGCTTCCGATCCTGGTCTCCGGCAGGAGGAAGCGCCCGTCCAGCGTGAAGGCCATGATGTAGGTGGCCACTCTGCCGCTGTCCTCCTCGGACTTGAGGGCCACGATGATCTGGTCGTCGGTGTTGGGGATGAACTTGAAGGACGAGAAGCCGTGCGTGGGGACCACCTCCCCGACGTGGCTCACGGCAATGTCGCCGAAGTCGGGGGAGGCGCTCAGCAGCAGGTTGGCGCCCTTGCGCTCGTCGTCCTTCTCGCTGTAGCGCTCTTGGCTGGCGCGGCGTGGCAGGAAGAACCAGCGCTGCAGTGTGTCGCTCCAGCAGGCAGACTCGTGGATGAGGTAGCCTGGGGACCGGGTGACCGCGGGTCAGACACGCACGCGGCCTGGCGCGCCCAGCCCCACGCCATCAGGCCGTGCGCAGCAAGCACGGGCTGTGACCGCCAGGGCCCACCAGCCCGCAGCATCCCCCGCCCCAGCTCTCCAGGCTTCTGTGTCCTCCGCTATTCCAGGCAGGGAACTTGCAGCACCCCCTCCCATCCCCCGAGAGCTGCCTGTGAGCTGCATCAGGGCTCTGGCTCAACGCAGCCTCCCTGGTGCCGATCCAGAGGAGCCCAAGGAAAAGGAAGAAACTCGCACCGGATGTGAGGAGGCTGCCCCGAGGCTGCAAGGAAGGGGAGTCAGCCCTGGGCCCAAGGCGGGGACTCAGCCACTTTCTCCGGAGCCTCAGGCACCTGAGGCCGGCTCTATCCCGAGAAAGGGGGGGCCACAGTGCTGCAGCCCTGTGTCGGTGTGCACACCACAGCCCAGCACCAGGGGTGCGGACAGGGCCTGACCCCCAGAACCAGCCCCTGTGCAGACAACAGGGCCACACGCGGGGATGCCAGGAGGCCAGCTGCGAGTGGGGCGGGTCGAGCAGGAAAGAGAGAACGGCTCGCTTGCCCCCAGAATCCACTGGCCTGAGGGGAGCCACCATCACAGGCAACCAAAATCACTAAAATCAAGCAAGAAACAGGCCTAGGCGGCCGGGCACGGTGGCTCCCGCCTGTAATCCAGCATTTTGGGAGGCCTAGGCGGGTGGATCACCAGATCACCTGAGGTTAGGCATTCGAGACCATCCTAGACAACATGGTAAAGTGTCATCTCTACTAAAAATGCAAAAAATTAGCCAGGCATGGTGGCGCACACCTGTAGCCCCAGCTACTGGGGAGGCTGAGGCAGGAGAATGCTTGAACCCAGGAGGCGGAGGTTGCAGTGAGCAGATTGCACCACTCCAGCCTGGGTGACAGAGCAAGACTTTGTCAAAAAAAGAAAAAAAAAAGGATCCTGGAGGCAAATGCAGGCGGGAAGCAGGTTCCCAGCGAGGGGCTGCGGAAGCCACACCGTGGGGCTGGGGGAATCTTACCTGGCGGCCGGATGCCGGCAGCGGCCCGCAGAGCATTGTAGTTGGACACCCAGTTCTCGTGGTCCACACTGCCCTTGTGACCCACCACCTTCACCCACTCCGGGTTCTCGTTCACCACGTCGCCCGTGGTGGTCGTCCACTCCTTGCCCAGGCCGCCCACGTACAGACGCTCGTCCTTCACCGCCAGCCACTCGGCCTTGAAGCCTGGCCAAGCAGAGCAGCACCCTGAGGCCCCGCACCTCCTCCTGCCCTCCCCTCAGTTCCTGAGGGTCCAGCCACCACTCTCAAGTCTCCTCTGATCCCCAACTCCCTGCTTCAGCCATAACACCAGCCTCAAGATGATCCTTCAGGGCTAGAAAGGCTGAGCAGTGCAACACTCCAAAGGGGCACGTGTGTACCGGGGCGTGTGTGCGCACCCTCGCCGCACCTGAGCTCTGACGGAGCATTACTCTAACACCCGCGCTGCAGAGGGGCTTAGCGTTGGGGCTCCCAGTCTTCCTTTCCGTGTATTTGTTCAGAAGCTGTTTTTGCTTTTTCTTAAACTGATTTATTTAAAGTCAGCCTGACTTTGAAGGCTCCGCCCAGTTCAGGCTGTGTGGGGCTTGTGTTCTTGGAGAGGATTCTGACCATCCCTAGAGCCTGGTGTGCTCACTTCCGTTTGCTTTCCCTAAATTCTGCCAGCCTCTCGCCTTGAGAGCTGGAGCCGTGCCCCTCAACCGCCTGAGACCACAGCAGCTTCTGTGCAGGGCCCTGGAGGGACCCGCTGTCTCCTGGGTCCCTTGTGCCATGAGATGCTCTCCACCCCCTGGGTCTTCCACCCCGCCGGATGACCTGAGCACAGCCCAACCACAAAGCTCCCTTGACCCCGCTTTCCTCCCTACCCAAGGGAAGGACAGAACTACGCCAGGGTTGCCTGAAACCCGACAAGTGTGAGGCAGGACGTAGGCGACCCACACTTTCTCTGCTTCCTCAGGTGAGGTCTGTCCCCTGCCCAGCCCTGCGCAAACACTGAAGGTTTTATCACTGGGTGTGGGAAGGCTTGGCTGGCCAGGAGTTGTGTGTGCAGTTCCTCCTCGACCTGAGACAGCATGCGGTGGCATCGAGCTTTCTAGAAGGCAGGAACCCACTGCCAGCCCAGACAAATGGAGCCATGTGCAGCTCCTCTGCCAGCGTCCTTGGTGCCTCCCGGCCCCTCCCTGGAGGATGACACTGGCACTGCGCCCCCCTGGAGCCTGTCCCTGCCCTGCAGAAGCAGCACCTCCTTTCTGGTGAACAAAAAGGCTGGACTCAGGCTGCACTGCACAGGGGTGGCCGCAGCTCACTCGCCCCACCCTGCTGGGCTGCAGGGAGAGGAGGGCTGGGCAGGAGTTCACCCTTCAGTAACAGGAAACCAAAGTCTGGGTTTTATGTGAGAACCATCTGACCCATGGCTTTTGAGGCACGTCCCAGCATGCTCCTGAGAAGCTCTGAAGGTGTAAAAAGGGCTGTGTTCCCAGAGGTTCTCGGAGCAGCCGCGATGCAGCCGAAAAACATCCAGGAAAGACCCCCACTTCTCCCGCAGGCCTCTAGTGATAAGCTCTCACACCCAGAATCTGCCCGGTGTGAAGTGACAGAGGCTGCCCTCCCGGCTAGGGGTCAGGAGGCCGCAGGTCAGAGCAGGAGGGAGACGTGTTGTACCGTCACGCCGCCACCTTCTGGGCATGTGAATTCTTCACCCTTGCCTGCGTTTGCCAGCCAGGCCCCGCGCCCCACACTCACCCACACCTCCATAAGCTCTCGGGGTCCAGTTACCTTTCTCCACGGAGCCATCGCCGTCGGACAGAATCACCCAGGGCACGGCTTTGCTGCCTTCGATCTGGTAGACGACCCCTGTCCGGTCGTCCACGGAGTAGAGCTTCCCATTGAACACGATCAGGTCAGAGAGCTCCATGCCTCTCCCCTTCTCCGCCAGGTGGGACTCCAGGACCCCGTGGTCTTTGTCCCACTCCACAGCCACCCTGTCCCCGCTGTCTGACAGGGTCAGGTGGCCCTTTTTCAGGTAACTGAACCAGGTATTCTCCTCTGGGGCCCTGGACTCTGTGTCCAGGTCAGCGATAACTGCGATCCGGTACCGAACCCCAGCCGGCGTCCTTTGTGGGGGGGAAAGGGGGTAGGTGTCATTGTACCAGTTGGCGGGCGCCCGGCTGAGCCTCCAGTTATGTGCGTTATGGGTGGGGGGCCTGCCGGGGGCCGGGCGGTGGGAGCAGAGCAGCCAGAGGATGGCAGCCCCCACGAATAGCAAGATCACCTTCCAGCGGAGGCGGAAGCGGGGGTCCGCAGCCTTGGTCATGGACGCCAGCACAGGAAGGCCCCCCACACTGATCCGGAGGGAGTGCATAGACTCATTCCATTCTGGGTGCTCGGACGGCTGCAGGGGCATCAGCGGGGCAGTCAGGCGGGACCTGCACAGCCAGGGAGGGAGGAGAGAAGTCAGGGCGCCCGCAAGCTCAGTCCCGGCTCAGTTCCGGAAGCTGAGGCGCCGGAGGCTGACTCTCCCGGAAGAAATAGTATGTCGCTTTGTGGCCATTGTTACTTCCTTGGCTTCATGAATCCCTGACTCTGGCAGTATCTTTGTTTACTTTCATTCAGCAAGACGTGAAGTCTTTCCAGAGCAGAACTGTTCCATCTCCCGACCCAGCTGGCATGGTAGGAAGCTGAGTGAGAGAGGGAGTTCCCTGCGGGCTGCACTCTGTGATCCCTCTAAAGAGAGACATGGCAGGGAGGCAGGTGGGAGGGGAAGGTTGACGGGTGAGGTGGGATAGGATCACAGACAGGGTACAGGTCTGTATTTTACTCAAATGCCACCTCATCCAAGAAGCCCTCCCTGACTGCCCTGCTGCTGACATCACCCTCCGTCCCTGGGTCCTTGGCACTTGTCCCCACCTGGCGAGAATACAGCACACAGTTATTGGTTTGTTTCTGTCTCCACCCCTGTATCCCCAGCTCCTAGAACAGTGCCTGGCCCGGGCAGGCAAATGTGCAGTAAGTGAAGCAGTCTCCACTTCCTCGGGGTTAGGCTCCTGGGACATCTGAATACAAAACAGATCCAAAGCAAATCCAAACGCTCCTTCTTTTTGGTAGCTGTTGTTGCTTTTGGCCGTCTGTCCCCTGGCGCCTTTCTATTAATGCAAATGACCATAGGGACCAGAGTCTGAGCTGCTCTGGCTGCCTGGAGGCCAGCGTATCTGTGCCTTGCCTCCAAAGAACACCTGGGCTCACCGTGGGGCCTGGCTTAGCTGCAGGCCCCTCCCAGGCCACCCTCCACCCCAGGCGTGGCTCTGTGGAAGAGCCCCAGGGTCAGGGTGCTGGTGGCAGCCAGGAGCTGCAGCCCTTCCCCGCTGCTGCCAACCACACTTTCGGAGCACACAGCATGATGGCTCAGTGCAGCCACGGGGCGCCAGGCCCGCGTCTGCGCCACCTCGGTGAGAGCTGCCTGTCTCCAGACAGCCAACAAGTGCCACTCGGGGGGTAGGGAGACGGCTCCTGGTGACCATCGGCCCTCAGTGAACTCTGGCCTGGGAAGCTTCCCTGGCTAGGTCCTCAAGCAAACAACAGAACAGCAAACGTGTGGCTTTATGGGCAGACGCTGTCCTCCCGGCCAGGGCTATTGTCCTCTGTCCTCTAATAGGCTAGAGCCCTAATCAGCTCTTCTGGGAAGGACTTGGGGACTCCAGTGGCTCTGTGCAATTCTGGGCCCCAAATGCATGGAGCATGAGGCCCTGGTGCATAGTGGCCAGGGACAGACACCCCCACCAGAGACACCCCTTCTCCATGCTGCAGGCCGCTGGGCTGAGAAGAGACAAAAGCAGGATGACAGTTCCACGCAGAAGCCTGCCCCCAGGGCTTTCCGGCAGTCTCAGGTTTTAGCCCCCAGGGTCAGGTTCGAAGAGTGAATAAGGCGCATAGGTGGGGCCTGCTGCTCAGAGCGAGCCTCCTAACAGCAGAGCGGGGCTGCCTGCAGTTCCTCCAGGCCCATAGAGAGGACTCCTTGCTCCCTTTAAGGGGCAGGACTGTCAGGAACCCCTGAGGTGGTTACAGGGCTGGTCACTGGGGCCTTCCGGGCAGCGGGGCTGCCGTTCCCAGCGCTGGGCATCCTCCTCTGGCCAGGCCCAGGCCCCACCCCTCCCAGCCTCTTTCCAGCTCCAAGGCTTCAAACCCCAGCCAGGCCCCAGAAGTCTCCTGTGGGCTCTGAAGCACTCTACTTCACCTCCTGTGCAAATTCCACCTACATTTCTTTTTTCTTTTCTTTTCTTTTTTTGAGAAAGGGCCTCACTCTGTTGCCCAGGCTGGAGAGCAGCTGCATGACCACGCTCACTCCAGCCTCAACCTCCTAGGCTCACATGATCCTCCCACCTCAGCCTCCCAAATAGTTGGGACTACGGTCATGTGCCACCATGCACAGCTAATTTTTAAATTTTTTATAGAGATGAAGCCTCGTTATATTATTGCCCAGGCTCGTCTTGAATTCCTGGGCTCAAGTGATCCTCCTGCCCCAGCCTTCCAAAATGCTGGGATTGTAGGTGCCAATGCCCACACCCTACCTTACCTGCATTTCTGACATGTGTCTTAGACATGTTTCAAGACACAAGTACTATTCAGCTCTTCCCTCAGCCTAACTGCTCCGGATCTCCCCATGGGAAGGGTGGTGGTGACGCATGGCCACCATGTCCACAGTGGCCTGGTTCAAGCTCTCTTGGGACCCTGGGAGCTGTGCTTTTCTGTGTGAATATTACACTCTGATAAAAACATAAGGCACCACCACCACAGAAAACCTGAGTGGCCTCATCCTCTGCTTCCCTCCTCAGCACTGACTCTGGGGCAGGTTCTGCCCTCCTGCACGGCCCTTCCTCACCGTGCCACGCCGGCTGCCTCCCTCCACTCCCCGGCTGCCTCCCCCCGCAACACTGCTCCACCCTCACCATGGAGTCCCTGTGCCAGCTGCCATTCCACCATCATCTAACACTCCCTCGCTACCCACCATGAAGGGGCGTCCATCAGATGGCACACTCCCAGCTTTGGCGGCTTCCGCAGCTCCTGGGATGAACCTACTGTGCCCCCATCGCTCAGCCCTCACACTGCACCGTCTCCTCTGCCTGCCACCAGCCACGTGGGCTTCCTTCTGTCCCCTGACCACACTGGCTTCGTCCCCGGGGCAGAGCCTGCAGTTCCCCTGCCTGGAACAGCTGGGCCTGCTCTTCACACAGGCGCTCCGTTTCTTCAACCGGGCATCAGCAACTCAGGAAGACCTGCGTGAGCGCCCCCCTCCCACGCAGCTCCGGCTCTCCCACTGTCCCTCCCACCATCCCTGCCTGGCTAGGTGAGTATTTCTGCTCCCGGGCAGGGACTTGCCCACTGTCACAGCCCCAGCACCTGACGCACTGCCAGGCAGGGAGCAGGTGGTTTGCACACACAGGCTGAAGGGACAGAGATGCCAGGTGGGCCATCAGCCACTTCTTCAACAGCCCCTCCGCATCCTGCTGGGGGCCCACCTTCGTCCTACTGTGAACCCATGGCCCAGATCAAGCCCCGCACAGATCGAGCTGCTTAACTGCCCCACGTGAGCTGCAGGCCCAGGAAGACGGTGCCTGCCAGCACGGCCTGGGGTCAGACACTGTGCTGTACTGCCACCGGCCCTGGAGCCCTCATGTTCCCCGTTCAACTCCCCCAGCACTCGGTGAGTCACTGCGCACCTTCACCGCCCCTGACAAACCTCAGGCCCACTTCTCCCAGGAGACCCCTCTGCGGCCACCTTCAGCAGCTGAGGCCCGTGGGTGAGGCCCATACTGCCACGCAGATCAGTCCCCCCAGCCGCCAGGTGCCTGCTCTTCTGGATCCTCCCTCCCATCCCCAGGTGGCACAAGTCTCCCACCTTGTCACCATCTCACCTCCAGACCCTAGGCTCCCAGAGACACTCAACTGCTCCTGAATAAATGGCGAATCTGAATCAAGGAAAACCCTTCCCTGAGTCCCCGGCACCTCTGTCTCTCCCCATCCCTGCCCAGGCCCCTCACCCACACCTACACCCTCTCTTCCTTCTCGGCTAATCCTCGGAAGCGTCGACCTGAAGCCTGCACCAGCGGCAAACCCAGAGAGCACATCCCCCGGTCGTCCCTCCTGGAGGCAGCGAGGCACTCTCTGTTGGCCTCTTCCCGTCTTCCATACCTGCAGGCAGGTCTTCCAGTCCCTAGTGCTGTCAGGGGACGGAGCCCACTGACCTCTCCCAGGGCCTGCCCTCTAGGGTGAAGACCTCCACGCCTTTCTAGCCTGACCCAGTCTCTCAGCCTCGTCATCCGATGCCCACAGGCACCACAAACAAGGTCCTCCTCCCCTGGCCCTCAGGAGCCATCATGGGAAGCAATTAGTTCTAACCCTCCTCCCTCCTCAGCCCCACATGTGTCCGCCCAGCTCTAGACCTGGCCCCTTCTCCCCACCCATCCACACAGCCCAGCTCCAGTTCCCTCTCACCCTGGTGACTCTCAGAGGCCTAATGATCTAGACCAAGCTTGTCCAACATGCGGCCCGGGATGGCTTTGAATGCAGCCCAACACAAATGCGTCAACTTTCTTAGGACATGATGAGTCTGTTCAGCTCATGAGCTATCAGTGTATCTTACATGTGGCCCAAGACAATCCACCCACTGCGGCCCAGGGAAGCCGAAAGATTGAACACCCCTGATCTAGACCATCTGGGCTCAGCCAAGGGACTTCTCTTGGCCTCAGTTTACTTCCCAGAGCCATGCTGACGGCCACGCCAGATGCTCCCAGTAGAGAACTCTGCACAGGGCCGATGCTCAGGGTAGAGAACTCTGCACAGGGCCTGACCGCTACTGCCTCTCACTCACTCTACAAGCACCCTCTCACCTGCTGGGAGGGCTGCAAACTACCACCTGGGCCAAATCCAGTCCCCCACCTGGCGTGTAGATGCAGCCTGGTATGTGGACCCGGCCTTGTGTATAGGTGCGGCCTGGTGTGTAGGTGCGGCCTGGTGTGTAGACATGGCCTGGTGTGT